ATTATTATTATTATTATTATTATTATTATTATTATTATTATTATTATTATTATTATTATTATTATTATTATTATTATTATTATTATTATTATTATTATTATTATTATTATTATTATTATTATTATTATTATTATTACTATTATTGTTACTATTATTGTTACTATTATTATTATTATTATTATCATTATTATTACTATTATTGTTATTGTTATCGTTAACTATTTATTATCTTTAATTATTTATTATTCAATATCAACATGAAATAGTTTTAATTATAAATAATTTCTAATAATTCAGAAATCGAGACACATCAATAACAAACCATTGATTTTGAATAGCATATAATCTTTCAGATTTTCTTTTCTTCTTAATTTTGACAATTTTCAGGTTATGAATTTTTATTAAATGAATAAGTACATATAAATATGAATATATATATGCATGTGCATGTATATATTTATTTATACATATGTATTTTCGCCTATTCTAACTAAAATTGGATTTATTATCGATTACCATCGAGAAAATTCGATACATTTCTGGCTCTGGTTGGAAAAAGGAATTGGAATTGCATTATTTTATTTGGAAATTTTGGGATAATTTGTCCACAAGCTAATCAGCCCATTGTCAACGTGCAATTTGTACTAATTTCATTTCTGAACTTATACAACTTTCTGTTGAAATTTCCCTTAAATTGCTGTATTTCATTGTTGAAAGTCGACTTTCTCATTCTTTGTTCTCTCTTTGATGAAATGAATAATTTTGGAAACGATCAACTGAAGAAATCAATTCACTCTAATTACTTAAATTAATGTTCTTTTTGCAAAATTTGAATTTTGTCAACCTTTTTATTTAATCATAACAAATCATTGGGATTTTATACCAAATGGGTGCCTCCTTAACATCACCTTTACCACATCGACCGCCAACAAGCGTCTGTAATCATTTATTTGTGGCACCAGATGCGCCACCAATTTTCCAGCATCATCCATTGACAACGGTACAAACCAAAAAACAATCGGTATTTGCGGCAGGATGGAATTGGTCCAAGAAAGCTGCTCAGCAGGTTTGCATTTTTTTTCCCCCTGTTTTACCTTCCTTCTCTTTTTTTTTTCAGTTTTTCGAGACTTTTTAATAGTAAGGAAGTTATCAACTGATGAATCTAAGGTAGTCTGAATTAAAATTTTTAGGTATTCAAGTAGATATCCATAACATCGTCTTTATCATACCGTAAATATCTTTTTAAATCTTCCAATTATGCGTTGATACGTTTGAAAAGTCAAAATAAAATGAAATAATTCATTTGGAGTATTTACTGGCTGAAAAGTTTAATTTGAATTTTTTTTTTTTCAATCCGATCCATTCCAAATATATTCTCATTTAGAAACCGGAACTTGCATAAATTTCAATTAATTTTGTTTTATTTCTTTAGTCAATTTTTCCTTTCTATTTATTCTAAATTATTTGAAATATTTTTTTAGTGCTATCATTTAATTATTTAATAAATTGATAACATGTTTACGTTATCAAAGATTGATAGGATATTTTGCTAAGTTAAGCAGAAATATTTATTCAGTACTTCCCTCTCTTTTAGTTCTAATAGAAACATCACAAAAAAAAAAAAAATGTAAGGAAAGGAATGAATTTTGTATTTTGTTTAGTAAATTTAGTTCAGAAGGAAGGAAATAAATAAAGAAAAAAAAAGTAAATTTGAAAGACAAATAATAATTGTGTAATTGAAATTGAAATGAATGAAAGATAGCTCAAAATGAGAGATAAAATATTTCATGCAATTATAAAAATGATAATTCCACAAAAGTTGACATCAATCAATCAATCAATCAATCAATTAATTAATTAATTAATTAATGAAACAAAGAAAGCATGAATTTTTTCTCTGTAAAGTGTATTTGATTATGATTTTAATGAATTTCGAAAAAAAAAATCAATCATTTCTAATACAACCAATTTCTCGGTTCATCATATTTTCATCTTAATATTTTCCTTTTTCCCTTCTTTCTTTTCATTCCCTTTTACATGTATCTTTTCTCATTTTTTTTTCTTGCAATTACTGAAAATTATTGGAAAGAAATGGGCAAAAAAAAAAAGAAAACTGAATTGAAAAGATGTTGTCTGCACTTCTGAACAGTGTCTGCAAAATAAAAAGAACCTCAGGAGATGAAGGATGAGTGATTGAAAAATGGTAAAATAAGCCAATGGAGCCTAGTGCTAGGAAGCAAGATGATGGTGTCCAAAAAGCTATTTTGGGTATTTGCATATAGATATATATATATGTGTGTGTGTGTGTGTGTGTGTGTGTACATTTAGATAGGCCTGTTTTTCTTTCATTCCTTCCCTTTCCCTCCTCTTTTGCATCATTTTAAATTGGAATGAAAAATGCCAAAAGCTAATTAATGGAATGAATTGAATGCCATTTTCAAAATCCATTTTTCTAAGGCTTTTTCCGTCCATTCTAGACATGTTGCCTTTTTAGGAATTTTTTATTTTCTTAAATTAACATAGAAGGCAAAATTCCTACAAATAAATATTTCAATCTTTCATTAAAATCTTTATGAAAAATTTTTTCATATCCCAATATTTCTAGCAATCATTTTAATTTTAACATTTTCAAATTGATTTTGAACAAAAAAAGAAAAAAAATCATAAAAATTGAATGTTAAACAAAAAAAAAAAAGAAAGAAAAGAAAAAGAAACGAAGAATTTTGATTAATATAATTGAATAAACAAATATCATTTAATGAATTATATTATTTAAAATTGTGACATAGGGAAGGAATATATGAAATGTTTGAAATAAATAATGAATTTTGATTAATTTATTTTTATCTCTTTTTGGGTTATATTATTTTATTCTAAATTTTTCACCAAATACATTCATATGAAATATTATTTCAAATAAATATAATTCGTTTAAATTGAAATAATATTTGCTTTTTTTTTTTTCTCGTTGTCTTCTCCTTTTCTTTCTTTCTTTTTTTTTTTTCTTTTCCTCCTATCAAATAATTAATAATCAATTAAACCATAACGATTCAATACATTGCCCTACTTTTACTTAATAAAATCAAGAAAAAAAGTACGATAGAGAGAGAGAGAGATAGAGAGGGAGAGAGAGGATGAAAGAGTAAGAGAAAAGAAGAATGAGAAAATTTGAATATAAATTTCTTGTTTGATACTTTTGTTATTATTTTAATATGAAAATTATCGAATTTTTTATGAAAATTTTCAAATTTTCAAATTAAACTTCTCACTTACAGTATCATTTTGTTATTCTCTCCGTTTATTTCTTCCTTTTCCTTTTTTTTCCTTCCCTCTTGCTAAAGGTTGATGGAAAGCTAATTTAGAAATAATTCAGTTTAGAAAAAAAAAAAAAAGAAATGCAATTACACATATGTTAGCTCATTTTCATCACAACTATGATACTTATACGATCCCAAATTGCATTTTCATTCTCTCTCTTCAACTTTCCTCTTATTACATTAAGCATTATTATTACTTATCCATAAGGTTTTAATTTGTTTCACTCAATGATTTTAGGTTCAATAAACCTTATGGATTAGCAATTTATTTGCATATATAATAAACAATGTTAAATTTATTGATGACATCAAAAGAAAATTGAATATTTGAATTTATACTTTTCTTTTATTGACAAATTCCTCCATTACTTATTTTTTTTTTTTCATCTATTCAAAATTTACATTTTTTAATTTATTTTTTATAGTCAGCTTTTTCCATATTGTATTTGCCATTTTTCATTCATTGCAGTCATATTTAGCAGTTCATCCTGAATTTGAAATTTTAATAATTTAGCTAATAATTTATCATAATATAATAATTATTTTTGGCTAACTATGATATTGATATGTTTACCTTAAATGAAATTAATTAAAAATTTATGAAAATACATAATTGTGAAAATTTGTATCAATTAATATAACAATATTTTAAGCTTAAAATAATTTGAATTATTTTAATTTTAGCTTCAAATGCAAGCTCAAGCGCAAAAACAACGAACTACAGCGGTAACATCACGTTCCACCGATTCGATGCTACTATTAGCAACAGATCAAGCAGAAAAAAGTTCACGTGAACTACCATATTCGCAATTATCCGTAACTTTGGATAGTAATCAAAATTATAAGAAGTATGAGCCAACGGCAACAAATTCTACGAAGAATCGGCGGAATTCATTAGTTATTGTTGATACTGCAACTGTTATACCAAACTATTACAGTATCCGGAAAGAGATAAAACAAGAACTGAAACTTAGTAAACAGGTCATTTCCAAATTTTACTCAACTTTTTTTTCCCTTATTATTTAAATCATTTTTCAAATAGTTTTTTTAAAACTTTGATTGTTTGAAATGAACTAAAAGGGCTTTATGAAATATTTCCTGTAAAAATTTTGTTATCTTGATTTCAAATTCTTGCTCCTTTTTTCTTATATCATAAATATTGACGTGATGTTTTCAAACGGATTTTTTTTTTAAATCAGAAAAAATATGTTAAGTTGAAATAATTCATCTAATTTTTTCATTTAGTTGAAGAATTCAAATAAATTTAACAAACAAAAAGTTTTATTTATTAGAAGGAAATTCGAAAATTAAAAAATTTGAATAGTTCTATTAAAATATCATAGGAATATATTTCAAATAAAAAAAAAGAAAAAAACGTAATAGTTGTTGTTTGAAAAGTGATAAATAAGTTAAATTAATTCTCAGTAATTTTTAGCCTAAAATTTAATCTCAAGAAAATTGTTAAGCGACCATTCAAAATAACAACAATATTTCGAAATGATATGAATTATTCTGTGTTGTGTGATAATAATATAAATAATAAATTATATATATATATATATATATATTGTTCAGTTATTTTTCCTGAAGTTCTTGAATTAATTTTTAAATGGTATATTCGTTATTTAATGCGAAGTTAAAATTTCAAGAAAAGATCTATGAGAAAAAGAACGAAGTAATATTTATTAAAAAAGGAAAGAAATAATATTTAATATTTACATATAATCATTATTGATTACAAATAAAAGTGGCTAATGCATAAATTTTCCCCAAATTCGTTTGCTTTATATCTCTTTTATATATATATATATATATATATATATATATATATATATATATATATATATATATATATATATATATATATTATTATTAT